TCCCGCCTTCCGAGTGCCGGCCCCACACGGGTGTGCCGAGGCCTCGGCCAGCCCTCCCCCACCCCCGAGACGGTCAAGCAGCTCCAGACATGCTGCCCGGAGGCCTTCGTGCCGCCCACAGGCCACCCACTCTGGGCTCCTGGTCATTTCCCCACCACCCTGTCGTCCGTGTGCGGAAGGTCCTCTCTGTGGGACCCCCTCGGGGGCCGCGTAGCGGGAGCCCCATGAGGAGCCGGCGCTCACCGTCTGTGTGGACCCGCATGGCAGAGGCTGAGATGTCCGTGGTGATGGTGAAGTAGGGGATCCACAGGTCCTGCGGGGAGGACAGGGCTTAGAGGGCATCCTCCCCGGCCGCCCCCCAAGGGGTGTGTGAGGGGTGGGAAGGGGTGCGGGAGGGGTAAGGAGGGGTGAGGAGGAGGAGGGGTGAGCAGGGGTGAGCAGGTGTGCAGGAGGGGTGGAGAGGGGTGGGGATGAGTGAGGAAGGGTGGGGAAGGGTGAGCAGGGGTGCAAAAGGGGAGGGGTGGGGAGGAGTGAGGAGGAGTGGGGAGGGGTAAGGAGGAGTGAGGGTGCAGCACCTCGATCTGCCGGTCCTTGAAGACGCTGCAGATGCTGCTGTTGAAGCCAGCCCCCGAGAACATGGAGGTGATGGGGTAGGTCAGGTCCAGCATCGTCTTCATCATCGACGTCATGTCCTGGGGGGGCAGTCGGCTGGTGAGGACTCACCCCCGGGCAGCAGGCGGCCCTCAGGCCCAGCAGGGCCGCATCGGAGGAGGGAGCAGGGACCTGGCTGGGCCCCCAGACAGAGCAGAGTGTCGGAGGCACCTGGGGGTGGGTCTCGGGGGGATGAACGCTGTGGCCTGAGCAGCTCACCGGAGGTGCTGTGGGGACACCGCTGACCCCCCGGGTGTCTCTCCCGCAAACTGATTAATGCACTGCCCCCCCGCGCCCCCCATCAAACCCTCACACCCCCCAGCCCCCCCGCCCGCTCCGCCAGGCCAGGGCCCCAGCCACAGGCTCAGCCCAGGTCCCAGCCCCGGCTGCTCAGAGGAGCTGACCTGCAGCTGCTGACCCCGCCTTTCCCACAGAACCCCCAAAGCGGCTCTGGCCTGGGGCTCCCCGTGGCCCCGCCCCATTTCCAGCGGAACTGTGGGTCCAGTGAACCTCCGTGTGGTCCCCGGTCACCTGGGTGAACTGAGACCGGGAACCAACACAGCCAGCCCCCACGTGGTGTGGCTGCACCCGTGATCCCCGCTGCCCCACGGGTGGTCACGGGACGAGCCGGCTCCAGGGAGCGGCCCTACCTCAGTCCACTGCTTGGCCCGGATGCGAATCTGGCTGTAGCTCCTCTCCTCGGCGTACAGGGCGCCCATGAAGGCCCCGATGGACGTCCCCCCGACCATGTCCACGGGGATGCCGCACTCCGCCAGCGCTCGGATGATGCCAACCTGGGCGCAGCCTCTGCCCACCGGGAGCAGGGACAGGGGTAAGTGCCACCGCCAGGACCGGCACCCACTGTGCCCGCAGGAGCCTGGACGGCTGCCGTCCCACCTCTCCTCCATGCCGGCTCTCGCCTGAGCGACAGGCCAGGCAGGCCCGGCTCAGAGGAGAGACGGGCACCATGCAGATGCTCTGGCGTCCTGAGCGGCAGCCAGCACTCGGCCTCGTCTCCCACCAGCGTCCGAGAGGCCTGCACCGGCCGGACTTTGGGTGGACTCAGGAGGGGCGAGGGGGACACAGGCCAGGCCCCGGAAGGGAGTCGGTCAGTGGGACGCACGAACCCCCTCGGGTGGGAAAGCTGGCCTCGGACTGAACTGGTCACTGAGCCTCGAACTCTGTTACCACGTCTCTCACGATGTCCATCCCTCCCAGCAATGACACGCCTGTGAGAGGACCGCGTGGCCACAGCCCGAGCACGCAGGCCGCCGGCGTGGGCCCAGAGGACCCGGTCACAGAGGTGCAGGTGCCGCTATAAGATGGCGGGGCTCCCGACCGGGGAGCCGCCTGCTGCCCGTGACAGTGAGGAGTGACGAGTGTGGGGGAAGCACACGAGAGGGTGCCTTTCAGCGGCAAAC